GAGAAAATTTAGTTTTATTAAAAAGTTAAGACCCTTGCATTTTGGCAAAGACAATATTTTTTTAATTTTTAAATTTTCATTTATTTTATACATTTATACATTCAATCAGTATACATTGCTTAGCTTGTAAAGTGAATTTACTCAATATGAATACACTTTAATGCCAGTCTGTAGTTCAGGATACTATACATGTTATCATCAACAGATAATAATCCATTTCTGCGTCTCATAAATGTCTTGTCTCTGTTTTCTGCCTTAGTTTCTTTCCTTGTACTCGTCCCCTTCTCCCACCCTCTCCCTACACTATCTTCAGTGTCCCTAACCATTTTCCATGCTTCTATATCCTCTAGTCTTTTAGTTTCCACCATAGAGTGCAGATAGTCGATATATGTTATGTGGAGACATACAGTGTCTCTCTTTCATAGCCTGGTTTGTGTCACTCAGCAGTAAATCTTCCATATTTGTCCACTCTATCAAATACCAAGATCTTGTTGTTTTTATGGCTGAGTAGTATTCCATAGTGTATATGTGCCACACTTTTCCAATCCATTCATCTGTTTGTGGACATTTGGTTTGGTTTCATGTCTTAGGAATTGTGAATAATGCCACAATAAACTTAGATGTGCAAGCGCTTTTCTGACTGAGCATTCTCCTATCCTTTGGGTAGATACCCAGGAGTGGGGATGCTGGATCATATGGTAGTTCTATTTGTAGGTCTTTGAGGAACCTGAATATTGTTCTCCATAGTGGCTGGATCAATTTACATTCCCACCAACAGGGTAGGAAAGTTTCACCTTTCATCACAACCTCACCAGCACTTATCATTTTTAGATTTTTTTCATCTTTGTCATTCTGACTGGTCTCATTGTGGTTTTGATCTGCATCTCCCTTATAATGAGGGATGCTGAGCATTTTCTCATATGTTTTCTGGCTGTTCATATGTCTTCCTTAGAGAGTTGTATGTTCAGTTCATTTTTTCATCTTTTAATTGGGTTGACCTCTTTTGTTTGTTTGTTTTTCTTCAGGTAAGCCTCTTGAGTTCCCTGTTTATTCTAGTTATCAGTCCTTTATCTGAGGCTTAGTTTACAAAAATATTCTCCCATTCCAAGGGTTGTCTGTTCACACTAATTACTGTGTGTTTTGCTGTGTGGAAACTTAATCTGATAATGTATTTCTTTATTTAGGTTTTAGTTGTGTAATCTTGTTTTTCTCTTTCAGCTCCTAGTCTATAATTTATTGGGCAAAACTGTGTTTTGGCCACTGAATTCAGCTTTACCTATAGATTTCTCCTGTGCCTCAGGGAGTGGACAGTTTCTCTGGATCCCAAATTTCTTTTGTATTGTGGTGGTTTGCATAATTTATTTGTGAAAGAGTGCACATATGTTCAGAAGAAATAAAGAAACAATCTCAATAGGGTCTGGTCAGCCCACTAGCTCATCAGGATCTGGGACACAGGCTCACATGTGTTTTAGGCCAACTGAGTCAGATATCAGAACCCATAGTCAGCCATGTGGGTTCCAGCACTGCAGTGCAGTGTGCTACTGACTGTAACACCAAGTTAAGAGATCCTATGCTCTTATCAGAGCATGCAGTTGACCTGCCTGAAAAAAAGATGACAGGAAAATATCTCATATGCGTTGTAGAAAACACAAATCCTTCTTAGATATAAACTGGTTCCAGGGTCTTTATAGAGCACTGGTCCTAAGGAGACTCACTACTCCCTCCTTTCTTCACCACCTTCCAAACACACCCAGCACACGCACACACACAGACACACACACACAGACTCACACATGCCCCTTTTTTATTCATTGCCTCTGAAGTGGTGCACACCACCACAGCCATGCTGCTTTGGCTCTCCCTCAACAGAACCTTCAACAAAACCATGTCTCTCACCTGAGACAGTTAGAAAGCTTCTAAAGCGGCTGCTGTTGTCTGTCACATGCAGATAATATATCCTTTCGGACAAGGGACACCATTGCCACAGCTGGGAAAATCTGCGTGTGTTTGCCAGCACTTTGGGAAACATGGCCACAATGTGTATGCTGTGAATGAACTTATTACATGTCCCTTGGAAAGGGACAGCATGGCAGGTAACTTCTTCCCTGTCCTCAGAACTAAGCAGTCATCTATAATTAAAAGTAGCAATGATCAGCAGAAATCTAGGTTGCCCATCTCCTCCTAACTCTCCACACCCTTGTCCTACGGTCATCTATAATTAAAAGTAGCAACGATCATCAGAAATCTAGGTTGCCCGTCTCCTCCTAACTCTCCACACCCTTGTCCTACTGAAATCAAGCCTGAGGACCAGTTTAGATTTGAAATCTCAGGGTCAGGGGCACACAGCCTGACTTGAGTGTTTCCTCCCATCAGCAGTCCTGCATGTAATTAACGCTGCCCTGTACGATTAGGGAGATACTGCTGTAACATGTGGTGGGGTGCTATACTCACATGGTGTCTAGTATACATTCTAAGCATCTTACTATGTAGTTCCACACATTGAAACAGTAAGAATTCCTCATGATCTCTAAATTAGCCACCCTTCCGCAGTTTCTTATGCAGGTGGTTACTTCTTTTCTGGATTAGGGCATGCAGGACCTTAGTCTTGAAACATTTTTCACTTCTCTGGGAAGTTTCATTTTTCCTTGGCTATTGCAAACACGATCTTGCTGAACAGAGCTGAATTTTTAAGGCTGAGTTTGTGGTGTGGATTCTGATGATTTCACGTTAGTTCAAGTCTCTGAGGACCAGTGCCAATAAATGTGAAAGGGACAACAGTAGATTGGCATACTTTTCCATTTCCACCAGGATGAAAAACTGCTATAAATTAAGTCTAACCTTAAATGTATAATCTGTCCTTGGGAGGAAAGGAAAAAAAAGGATATAGCATCTTCAAGCTCTCGGCATCCCTTACGAGAAAAAATTGGTTCTAAGGGTCTCTGATCTTGTGTTTTAGTAAAATAGAACTGCACGGCTGACTGACAGTTCTGATCTAAAGCATTTACGTTTAAGTTTTGATCTCTCTGCTTTTGATTAAAACTAATGAGCTCATTTAATTCAAAATGGGAATCTCTGATAAGAGAAATAAGGTTGATGTGATTGGATTAGAGGGGCAAATTAAACTCTTAGAGCAGAAGTTTGTGCTTATATAGTGTATTAAAAAGCTGTTGGCGTATTATGGCGTGTTAGATGATGAGAAAAATTTCATAGTAATTCATATTTAATCAGAAGAAATGAAAGTACTAAATATAACATGGCTCTGCTTTTCCCTCGAGTGATAAAAAGCTGTACATTTAAAATGACATCAGATCCATGCTCTCTAAAACAAAAAAAAAAAAGAAAAAAGAAAACCTTAAGAGAGACACATAAGTAAGGGACACTTGTCAGTGTTTCCATTAACTCAGAATAGAAATGCTATAAAAATAGGGAAATAAAGTCACATTAAGGTAATAATGGAACAAGAAAAGTTCCAGACTGCAAACAACACCGTTTCTATTTGAGTATCTCTCATTCTTTCATCTGAACATCAAATTTAACTTGAAAATAGATTATTTACCCTTAAAATAGGTGGTATCCATCTCATAATTTAAATTTTCAAAGCTTGTTTTGCCTATTTTTCTCAATTTTTAAATGATTATTTCACATATGCTTATTTTTTAAATCTCTTTATTACACATATGTCTTTACTCCTATTCCAGAGAAAATTGATTTTAATTATAGGGCTGCTTAAAAGAGATTCTGTTTATTGTTGGACTTTTTAACTTTTGAATAATAAAAACTAAAATACTATTAAGGGAAAAAAATTAGAATATTTACTGGACTTAAAAACCCCAAAATTAATTTATTTGCAGAAAATGGCTTATGTTTATAAAATACCTTAGAAGCTTGTTTTTAAAGAAAATAGATTACATTGCCTTCTGGCTTATTTGCATCAAGGTGTTTTTAGATTAGCAAGACTGAAAAATAGACTTTTAAGTTTTTGTTTGTTTCTAGGTTTTTTCCATAGAGCATGTATACTTCCCTGTGAGGGAAGAGAGAGAGAAAGAGAAAGTGAACACTCCCCCCTCCCCCCCTCGCGGAGGATAGCCACGTTGCAGTCCCTTCTCCAATTCTCCTCTCAAAATTCTGGGCACACACACAGACACCCAGCATGATTTTCAAGCTGCCGAATCTGGGACTTGAACTTTGGTCAACCATGTAGGAATCCAATGCCTTAACCACCACACTACGTGCTATAAAATGTCATCTTACATCAGAAGGAAAGAAGTGAAAAAAAGAGTTTCCTATTTGGGTGAGCACCTGAGACAAAAACAGCAGGTTGCTATCATGAGTATTTTCCCAGTTTTTCTGTCTGTACATCCCATTTTCATCCCTTTATCTCCAATCAGTTAAGAAAACTTTATGCTTTTTATTCTAAACCATGATGAAAACCAACTCAGGAGATCGAGGACATTGGTCAGGGCATGGTTATTCAACCTTAATGGCTCTGTGCTTCCTGGAATTCCTAGTCAGCAAATGATACAGGAAGAGATTCACGGTAAAAAAAAAAAAAAAAGGAAAGAAAGAAAAAGAAAAAAGAGCAAGTCTACTTTACCCTTTCTCAGAAATGTCTCTGCCTGTACCTTGGTTGATCCCATAAGTCTACAGGGCCTTTCTTTTTAACCTCAGTTCATGCGGTTTTATGCACATCAGCCAAGCCTCAAAGTGGGCTGCAATTACTTACTTATGATTAGATCCCACTTAGGGAGCCTCTGCTGGAAGTTAAAAAAGGCTGGAAAGCTCTTGCTAGAATCTGGTATAGAGTTACTTCAGATACACTAATTTTTCTTTTTTATTTTCTGCAAAGTAAACATTTTCCAAATGAGGTAAATTGATTAGTATGCTCTTAGCACCCATCAGTCATTTATTTTTAGTGAACTCAAGGATTGCACCTGAGCAGTAGCTGTGAGGGGCTGTGTAGAGATCTAAATCATGTGTGTATGTATTTTTGTATTCCTCAGTGGAGTCGACCAGCCCCAGTCTGCTAACCACTGACAACACCCTTGAGCGTTCCTTTTTCATCCGAATGAAATCTACTCTGACCAAACGTGGTGTGCACATCAAATCATCGGGATATAAGGTAAGCTGGATTCCAAGAGGGGAGACGTTTCTGTCTCAGGTCAATCGTAGGTCATTTGCATTGTATTTTCCAACTATTTTAAGTCTATATAATTAACACATGTGATCTTAAGCAGCTTGTGGGGTTTCTAGTCATCTTCCCATCTCAAGGTAGGGGTTTCTTTACACCTCTCCTCTTCACTTCAGACATGCGATTGCACTAAATGCCCCCATCCAGTGGCTTTACTTTAAGAACTGATTAATACGGGAACCAGCAGTTAGCGTAATGGCTATGTCGCTGGACTCCCACGTAGACGACCGCGGTTCATGTCCCGGACCCGGTGGCTTAAATCTCACGCCGAGCGCGTGTGCGTGCGTGCCCAAGATCCCGAGAGGAGAATGGAGGAGAAGGGATTGCGGCGTGACCATCCCCCCTGGGGGGTGATTTCTCGCTTTCTGTCTCTATGTCTCTCTCTGTCTGTCTGGCGAGCGCACGCACCCTACAGTGAAAATCTCTCAAAAAAAAAAAAAAGAGAACTGATTAATAATATGCCAAATGCTTCTGCACCTGCTGGAAACCTACTTTGGTGGTGGTGGTGAGCCACATTTATATCAGTTAAGATCAATATTCTAGAACTGCTGCTTTTCAGAGTCCCACTTCTCTCTTCCCCCTTCAAACTCCTCCTGTTCTCTATGGAGAGAGAGCCTGTTCATTTTAATAGCATCTTGGACACCAAGATTTGTATGGGTGGTTAAGAAAATCAGTTTAGACATTAGAAACCTTAGTTTTGAAATTATAATTATGAATCTTCATTCATACCTTAGCATACATAGAATACCCAGCATACAGAGTACGTGTTCCTCAAGAGCAAAGACCAAGTATGGAGTCATAATATGCATTGTTATCATTTAAGGTTAAAGATATAAAAGCCTTCCATTCTCTGGAAATTCCAGTGTTTTGGTTATCATAGCAACATAAATTAAGACCTATGAAATTTATGAAATGCCTTTGGCAACCTGAATCTTATCAATCTTACAACATACTGACCATTTCCTTGAACAATATTTATTACATGTGGGAGGGCAAATAGAAAGGGAAGCTACCATCAGTGTGGCCAGCACAGCCATCCACAAATTGAGAGTTTAAAAATTCTGACTCTAAACTCAGTTCTTTTGGGTGACCACAACATATCCAAGGGTGGTAACATCCATTATCATCAGGCTTGAGAAACCTTCGATAAGTCATCAGGAGACTAGCAATGGTATAGAAGTCAGACTCAGGCACTTTCCTTGACATTAATTCTTCAGAAAAAAAAAAAAAAAGAAAGAAAGAATGAAGGTAAGAAGCAGGCCCTTCCAAGAACGACCTTTAGCTGAGCTGTCCTGCAGTCTGAAAGGCACACGCAGAGCATCCTTAACCTTTAACAGGGTGCGAGCAAAGGAGAGGCAAAGGGGCAGGTGCACCAGTGAAGCCGTACCCTACAGAGGTTACACAGGAGTGTGTCAAATAGAGGAGGAGGAAAGACCCTATCCATAGGACCATTTTGTATTTCCCCTGCACTGTGGATTATTAGTTGTTCACTGTGTAGCCTTAACAATGTTGGAATTCTATAAACAGATACAGATGTTGAGATTATTGTTCTTTAGAGACTAGAAAAATAAATTCCTTGCACTGTAGATTTTAGGAGCCACAGGGTTTCCTTTCTTCATCCTTGCCGATGTTCACTGGTTTGTAGGGGGCATATCCCAGGAGAGAAGGACGGTGGAAAAGATGGGGTATAGTTTGAAAAAGCAGTATTTAATATAATTCAATGTAATTAGATCATTTAATTTTTTTTAAAAAATCATACTACAAACTAGAGATTATAAAATTCTACAAAATATTGGATCTGCAAAAAACGGCTATATGGGTATGAAAGTAACATGGAGAAATAGAGTTTTATTCTAGGCAGAAGACCAAGTAGCTTGCATTGTTTATTTATTCTTTTTTTATTAATTAATTAATTTATTTATTTATTTTGTCATACAGCCACCTTGGTAAAGCTGCTTTTGCTGCATAACTTGAAATTGGATGACTTGATATCTTAAGTATTGATAGAATATGTATTCATTCATTTAACAAAGATTTATTGAACTCCTACCATGAGATCTATCCTAGTTCCCAGAAATCCTGCACTTAACAATGAAAAGAAGTCCTTGCTTTCATCATGTTTACATTCAAGCAGGGGGAGACAGAGTCTAATGAGTAAATAAATAAAAAACGTGATTTCAGAGAGTAATGAAGTCTAAAATAATAACTAACATTCAGGAGTATTATAATATCCTGGGCATGATAGTTACACATATGAGCCCTCACAACAATCTTAGAGAAAAGTATTTGTACTGTGTTCATATTACAGATAAAGGAGCAAAAGCTATAGAGGTTAATTAGCACACTGAACACCACATGTTGAAAGAGCAGAGCTAGGTTTTGAACTTGGGGAGTCTGGCTCCACATGCCATATACCTAACCACTTGGCTATACCACTATGCAGAGAATAAAGTGAGGTAAAACAAGGTGGTTGCCACAGGCAAGAGACCACTTTAGTCAGGAAAATCACAGAAGGACTTTGTGAGGAAGGGACATATCGCTTCTGAGCAGGACCACCATAAGAACAATTGGAAGAAAAATGTTTCTGAAGCAACCTAGGTTTAGGATTAAGGATACTTTGCAATCAAAAGGGCCTTGAGAATATTAAAAAGTGCCCCCTTAAACATCCAAGATTGGAAAAGATTTAGGAGCTGTGCCAGATCCCATCAAATCAAATCAGGTTAAAGAGACCACACTCCTCTGACATAACCATCTGTCAGGAAGTCTTTCTCAAGATGCCATGAAAGTCTACCCAGAGCCTTACTGCCCTCCCCAGAACTGCTCCCAACAAGAGTTGCTTCCTCGGCTTTTCCTGCAGTAAGACAAATCATCCCGCAGATCCAGCTCTTCCCCTCCTCCTCCTCCACAGTGAGTGTCCCTCATTAATTAACCTTGTCTGAAAGTTACTGGAAGAACTGATGAGAACCCATGACATGACACAGCTGAATAACATCCCTATTTATCTGTTCATTCTCAGTAAGTAAATCTAGCAGCTTATAAAACATTCCAATAAAACTGGTAATCACCCCACCACCACACAATAAACACAAATAAAAAGAAGCAGCAATGATAATTTCTCCGTACTCCCAATATTCCTCCTAATTTATTACCATTGTATGCATCTTTCTCATCCCTTAGTTAAAGATCCAACGTGTTAAGCCTTGCTCAGTGCTGGTCACTACATTTCTCTCCATTTTTTTTCTGTGACCTTGGCATTTGGACCTTTCTAACTTTCTCCATCACTTTATTTATAGTTGTCACTTAGAGTCATCGCTGTAACAAAAGTGCCAATTAATGAACATTGACTATGGCAGGCACTGTCCCAAATGTTTTATACTTATTTTTATTATATTTAATCCACACAACAGTATTGTTTAAAAATCATTCTCTGTGCCAGGCATTATTCAAACTTTACACAGTATCATTGTGCTCATTTCATAGGTGGCAAAACTGGCCTTAATAAGCCAAAGGTCTTTCTTCTTTCTTTTTTTAATTTGAATTGCCACAGGGTACATGTGCTTAATCACCAGGGAGAAGGGGTGAGAGAGGAAGAAAGCATCTCCCAGTGGGGCACGGTCGCACCTTACTGCTTTCTCGTCCATGTCTACAAGCACAAGCACCCAGTGTGTTTTTCAAGCCACCAGGCTAGGATTCAATCTATGTTTGGTTGATCTGGCTCCCTCATCCACCAGGTCAGGGAGCTGACTCAAAAGGCTTTTCCATATTCATACATCTCTCAAGTAGTGACAGAATTGAATCCCACAGTTGGGTTCCAGAGTTTGCCCTCTTCACTCCTCCGTTTCACTGCTTAAAGGATTAAGTCCAATGAAGGGCTCAGCATGAACTGGATATCCACATATGAAAATTAACTTGTCTGAATTATTTTATTTAACTTTATTTATTTTTAGAATTATTTTATTTTATTCCATGTCAATATTTTATTTCATTTTTTTGAAGTTGACCAGAGAGAGAGAGAAGAAAAGTGAGAAAGCAAGCTGCCAGGTCCGGGACTAGACCCACTGTCAGTCATGTGGGAGCCCAGCTGCCTTAACCACCACGCCACCTGCTGGTCCCACTTATCTGATTTTTTTAAAGAGACATCTCTTTGAGGCTGGCCAGTGGCATAGTGATAAAATGTGACTCTCTGCTGCTGACCCTCATGGGAAGGCTCTGGGTTCATATCCACAGGCCTCCCTGAGTACCCTGTGTATCCATGTGCTCGTGAGCATGGACTGGCTGAGGCTGGGGGTGGACTGCAGCATCAAGACCCTGTTGGGTGGTACCTCTCTCTCTCTCTCTCACTCATGGAAGAAACAAGAAACAAAACAAAACAACCTTAAGGTTAAAAAAGCCTTAAAAAAAAATAGCCTGATCAGGACCTTCCCTTTGTGGCTCACCCTATCCCACTGCACTGGCCTATCATTTCTCCACTGCCCCCAAAGAGTTAGGGAGATTTACTTTTCTTTCCAGGACTCTCCTACTCACTCATAAATCACATATCAAAAATTCTAGTCAAAGAAATGCCCATTTGCATCTGCTAACTCAGGTGTACAGTGTAATATAAGTTGTTGCTACTTAGTTTGCCACACCCTAGCCCTCAGGAAGGTTGCCCTCTCTCCAATGATGTTTCCCAACTATGAACTGAGGGTGGGCTATTTTCATCCTCATTTGCTTTGAATCCACAGTAGCATGTTATCTGGACTAGCCACTTTTTCCGCCTCAGGGGCTTCCCTGTTGTTTAGGTCTCATGGTTGGTCACATATCTTAGCATAACACAGCTCTCATTTAAATTGCATTACCTCACTATTCTGTCTTCTTGATTAGGTCTATGTCTGGGGGAACTTACTAGGTATAGCACATGGGGTAAAAGAAGATATGTAATCAGGGAAATT